ATGCTGCGGCCGATCTTTTGGAGGGGGGTTGAGTTATTTTTCTTTTCCTTTGAGAGATTGCCGTCGTGTTGTTGCTCGAGGCTCTGGGCGAAAGCGTGAGTGTGGTGCGGCATCGCTACAAGGCGCTGTTCGGATCCAGAATGAGCGGGAATTCACATAGAGGAGAGGAGCTGAAGTTTTATCATAGCATTATAAGTTGTCATTTTTCATTTTGCTATGCTGGACCATGACTGTCGCCCCCTGCAGGACACTCTGGCTGCTCTGGAAAGTAGCTTAAGTGACAGACTTATTCACCCTTGCTGTGTGAATGAGAGGTTCCGCTGGTCTTTCCTTCCTGCTGCTGTCAGACTGTACAATGAGAACTGCTGAGCTTGTAAATGTCATTCATCTGTAAATGTATTGTTGGAATATAGATAACAATATGTGATCGCACCAACCAACAAACCAGGAAGTTCTTGGATCAGGAAGATTGGATTGTTTAAAATATAAAATAATATGGTAATTCAGCATTAGCATTAGCAGTAGTATTAGGCACAGCTTTTTATTTCACTTGATAACTCCAGGCTAAACATTAAAAGTAGTTGTCGTAGTAACAGTAGCAGCAGTTGTAATAGGCTGGAAAATACACGGGTTAATATTTTAGATTTCCCATTACATGCGCAGGGCTGTACACCAATATTTACACATTTTTTGTAAGCCGCTCCTCGGTGAGGTAATGGAGACGACACGCAGGCGTCTCGTGAGTGGAGCTGAGGACATGTGACGATGCGGTGTGAAAAGATTCAAGATAAGTCTATGGGGGCCGTGCAAAACATGTGGAAAGTCCTGCTGCTTCACGATGAAGACGTGAGGCGCTGATGACGTGTGAAAGGGACCGCGCACGTTAATTAAACTTGTCTCACCCCTTTGACGAGAGGGGGTGAGACTCCATTTTTTCCAAATTTGTGAAGTTCTTTGAGACGTCTGCTGTTGTGACATAGGGCACTACAAACGGGAATTTAATTGAATTTACAATATATCAATCATCTTTAATATTATTCATAACACATTTATTGTCTTGCATTATGATATATATGATTTGACAGCGTGGAACAAGTCTACTGGAGCAGATATGAATCAATGTGGCATAAATGATTCCAAATGTCTATTTTACAAAGAAATGTCCTTGCTAATCAACACAAGCATGGTCTGGTAGATTATATTGTTCATGGTTTTTCATTTCAATTCAGCGTATTCTTGAATCGAAAGTCACAACAGCAGAATCAAATAGTTCTACCACAAGAAATAAAACAGAAAACACATTTTTACACGACAAAATACAAGATGCAAGAATTTATTTGCCATTTGCAGTAAAACCACATTGGAAAAACTGTGCAAGACTACCCCAGTGTGTATTGGTCCATAAGGGGCAGATGACCGATGCAAACTCCTCTCAGAAAGGCCCTGTTCCGACCGGGTTGTGTGTGAAAATGGTCTAAGTATTTTCCGCCCTTTCCTCTCTCCTCTAACTTCATACGACTGTTTCTTTGGGATGTTTTCTTTTACTTATCCCCATGTTGATTTCGCGGCCACGATAACATCACCCCGAGCCTCGATTTAATTCATTTTAAACGCCATGTTCCAGCGACGCTCCACACTTTTGCGGTCATATCATTTCTCCATTTTGCGATTTTTCTATTAAGTCCATATAAAGCTCATGCATGGGTTTCTACGGAGACGTGTGGCTCTGTGTGTAATGCAATAGTGAATTATTGGGACTCGGTTGTAACCAGATTTCACGCTGAAACCCAATAAAATGTAGTGATTTATGGACTGGCCTTTTTCACCTGTTCAACATCCATTTTCCTCCCAAAGCAATCTGAAGAGCGGGGCATGGGCGCTGGGGTGTGGATGGATTTTGCATGCACGGAAATGGAAATCTCCGCCAAACAAATGGTGTGATCCCGGGGAACGGGTTACGGTGGACTCCGGCTGCAAAAAGTGTAAACAACCGTGGAGGGATTTGTTACTGTAATGTTCGACGTGCTGCACCGGCATTTTAGCACAAATGGAAAGGACAAACTACTGAGCCGCATCTCCAGGTAGTACACGTTTGCTGAGATTGAGTTGAACCAATCAGGAGAAGGGGTGAGGTCTAACCAGGGTTGCATTCTTTATCATTTTTCTGTGTTGAGATTTTTAATGTTCACAACTGGTTTTACTGCAAGCACGTCGTGTATCGGACCGTAGAACTCGTGTTGCCATTTCTTAGTTCTCCCACCAGATGGGGGTGTTTCACATAACCAGATATTATTTTCAGTTGTAATTTCTCCTCTGTGGGACTAAAATGTTCCCATTTGTCCATAAACAGTGTTGGGCACGTTACTTTGAAAAAGTAATTAGTTATAGTTACTAGTTACTTCTCCCAAAAAGTAACTGAGTTACTAACGGAGTTACTCCACTATAAAAGTAACTAGTTACCAGTAAAAGTAACTATTGCGTTACTTTTTCGTTTTGTTCTGGAACATAATGTGCACCCGACGTGCGCATTTTTACCTTTAACAGTGCCAATATTTCCATCTAGAAAAGGCTGTTTTGCTGCTGAAGTCCTGTTCACTCTTCATCTCTCACTGTGCTGTAAAGCCCGCCACTGTGAATGTGGAAACACCGGTGACGAGCGGTGAGGCTGGTGAAGCACTGACTTCAGACCAATCAGATGAACATATACATCATATAAATCAAGTGGACAATTTGTTTGGCTACAGCAAAATATGTTTTATGCCCGCATTGTTTGTTCATACAAAACGCAAAACTATGAGTTATGGGTCTTACCTTATAGCTATACCTTATAAATGACCTGCACAGTCCACTTCGGTTCAGACCAGTTCCTTGTTTAAATCCAGTGAATGGTTTGAGCGTAGATATGTAATCCTCCATTTGGAAATGAGTCCAATGAGTTTTAAAAAGTAAAACAAAACGCGTGTGTCCTCCGTAAACTCCTCTGTTTTGCTGCAGCCGGCTGCATCCAATTTCTAAAATCAACCGTCTTACACTTCACCTCTCTTTCTTATCATTCCTATAGTAATTGAAAAATTACCCTATGTGCATTTTAGATTATGTAAAAATGTGTTATATGTATGTTAGCCAAACCTGTTGCTGTCCTTAGCAGATAAACCAGGAAGAGCAAAGAGCTTATCGATGGAATTGTATGCAGCCGACTTCTGCGCTCACATGCGCTCCTCTGTGGCTGACCTCACGGTGATACAAGCCGTGGTTGAGCGCGATTAAGACCCATATTTGTTTCAAAAACACAATTTATGAGCCATCCTCTCAACTGTAGACATGTGGATTGTAAAGGAAATATGATTTACATCAGCCAATAATTGCTGAGAGGTTTTCTCATCCTCCCTTCTCTCATGACAACACGTTCATTGTGCGTCTTGAGTAACGCGCAGTAACGGGATGTCGGAAATGATAACGGCGTTATAGTTACAGTCAAAGTAATTAGTTAGATTACTCGTTACTGAAAAAAGTAACGGCGTTAGTAACTCCGTTACTAGTAACGCCGTTATTCCCATCACTGTCCATAAATAATTGACTTAAAGTTACTTTGTGAAGATGAATGAGCAAAACCTTCAGTCTTCTTGTGCTGGTTGCAAGGCTAAGAAGGTTCTGGGTTTGAGCCCTGGTCAGAACAGGGCCTTTCTGAGTGGTGTTTGCATGTTCTCCAAGTGTCTGCATAGGTTTCCTCCAGGTGCTCCGGTTTCCCCTACGACTAAAAACATTCACAATAGGTCTGAATGTAAACAAGAGATTGAATGGTGTTGGTTGGGGCTTTGATGGTCCAGTGTGTTCGGTGTCTCGCTTCCGTCATCACCGTGTGGAGAGAATGGAGAACTATCTGAACATTGTGTGCTTTGGGTGACAGTGGTCTAAATGTGCTATAAAAATAAACATTTCTTACTTACTTACAAGCCTCAAGTTTCTTATATCTAAGATAAAACAACATTAAAAGTGAATAGGAAGCAGATGGTAATTATTTATTCATTGGCTACAATAACATTGGCTCATGTGGGCTGAGGGGTCATTAATCTAATGCACACAATCTCAAACACATGTAGCAGCCTGATAATAGCCACTATAAACCTGCAGAGAAGTATTAATTCAACAAAACCAAGACTTAAACAGGTCTGTACTTACATTTTTAACCTACATTTTGAAAAGTCACAGGGGAACAAGCTCTTTTTCCTGCCCCTCCGGTTGGTGCAGTTCTGCCAACCACCAGCAGATGGCGAATGTTTCAATTCTTTCAATGGATTGATAACACTGAGGCTCACGTTGCTCCCACTGCACATTTTACAAATAGTCAGCAACTTAATTCTTTATTGCCAAGCCCAAAAGCATTATGGGATTTGTGCAAGTAGCAAATAGGACGCTTTTCGAAAAATCCCCACTGTGGGATGAATTACGGTTCTCTTATCTTATCTCTTATTTTACCACAATTCCTTCATCAGATACTTTTTTCTTTCATTCAACCACAGAGTGTCGTTTGCTGTGTGTTACTGGACCAAACGTGCAAAAGTTGGTGTTGCATTTAGATGGAGATAAGATAAACGTTATTGTCCCAGGAGAAATTTGCTGCGGGATACAGTGCTACACAAATCTGCATGAATGAATGAAAATAAAAAGACAACATTACAGAAAAAAAGTGTAATAGTGCTTTGAAATCTGTTCGCTCCCAAAATTAGAAGAAGACATACTATTTTGATCTCACAATGGAGAAATTCGGTTCGATGAATAGTCACATACACATATCCTATCAAGGAATGCAGTTACTTCCACGCTCCTTATAGGCAATGAGGGGTAAAGTGTCTTGCCCAAGGACACAACGACAGCAGTGGGAGTCTGTGGAGAAGGTCTTGCGGTGGGCTCACTACACAGACTCGCCATGGAATCAGAACAGTACAAACTCTACTACTGTCGCTGAAGTCTCCCTCTCTCTGGCCTTTCTCTCTCCACAGATAACAAATACGCTCCGGCCGTCAGTCTGAACGGCTTCATCTTCATCCTGGGAGGAGCCTACGCCCGGGCCACCACCATCTACGACCCCAACAAAGGCAACATCAAAGCCGGACCCAACATGAACCACTCTCGCCAGTTCTGCAGGTACAAAAAAACAAAACAAAAACAGCATACACACACACACAACCGGCCAAATATGAAGAAGAAGGAAGATATATATGTAAAACCCTGAGCTTATGGGTAATCCGCCGGTCTGCCGTCACAATATGGACTGGGACTATAGTCTTAGAAGGTGTGACTTGATTGGGTTTCACGGATTAACGCTTCCATATCCTGCTTTGTGAGGGATTTTACGTTTAATATGAATGCTTAAATAATGCACAGTGTATGGAAATGTGGTCTGTGTGGGTGTAACTCCGGACAGACGATTGTGTGGAAGGAATGGGGTAATTAAGAGATTCTGTATTCGTCCGTTTTCACAGTGGGGGAGATTTCAGTGTTGCATCTCATGTTACAGACTGTAGGACTGAGGGGCACACAGCACAAGATAAAAGAAAAGAAAATCTAACTCTAGCTTAAAAAGAAGCGGTATATAATCTCTATCTTTAGCCTAATAGAATATATAAGTCTAAATCTCCAACTTTGGCACGATGAAAACGCAAGACTTCAGTACTAAAATCCCTGACTTTAGCAGAATTTGGAGCAAGTTTGACTGATTTAGCTGCTAGTATAGAGAGAAATAAGAAAGAATTCCACTAAACTCACTTGAAGATTTGCTTTATTGCCAGTAAATAATTCATAATGCAATGTGTTTGTTCCAACCGAAATAGTGAAAGAATATAAAACATGTTTTCTTTTGCATGCTTGTAAGAAAGGGCTATTTGAGTCACAGTTTGAAGCTTTGGCTGATGAGGCGGGTCCTCTCTTTTTCACTTTTTATGTCTGGAAAAACTTGATCTTAATATGTGATTAAGACAAAAATACATGCGTGAGAAAACAACAACCAAAGTTCCAATTTTGTGGTTTTAAAGTTGTCGATACCTGAGCTTTCAGTGTGGAATGTTTATGATGAAATAGTGTATTCTCCCACTTATAACAATAACAGTTTCTTCATCCATGTCTTTATAGAAATGACTTCCCATAGTGAATATTCGTATTAACATTTAAATGTACCCTAAAGTCCTCCATGCCGCCCATAACGCCGCCGCACCTCATTGAATTGGCTGGTTTAGTCCAGTTTGTTCCAGTTTGCAGCTTTATAAGTCCCCATTAAGAGTGTAATACATGCTGCGGTGATTATCGTGAGCAGAGGCCACATGGGGTGACAGTGCGACCATATATGGGCAGGTAATGGGCCTTTATAAAAGCAGATTATGGAGACTTAAGAGCAATGGGATCATTTCCTGTTCTCCCCGTGCGCGCAATAACCGTGTGAGTCCTCCAAGGGCTGCTGCTGCTGCTGCTGCTGCTGCTGCTGCTGCTGCTGCTGCTGCTGCTGCGAGGGAGAAAAATAAGGAGAAATGTGTGAACAAATCTTGGGGGATGCAATTACAGACTGTGGATGGTCTGTGTAGAATGTGTATGTTCTAAATCATGTTGTGTTTGTATTGATAAGGAACATAGAGACGCACGCCTGGAGCCCACTGCTTTTTAACTGCTGTGAGAGGCAAAGAAACACACTTCTGTCGTTACATGTTCAAGGAATCCTGGCCATGCTACATAGACTCTGCACTATAAGCATTTTACACACTGTCAGGAAGCCAGAGCTGAAACTGTTGGTTTTAAAGACTCAGTATCCTCACTCTTACGTCTAAATATACATAACATTTAAAGTTGGAAATGGCTGTATTAGATATTTATTTCATCATCTCAAAAGTAACTTAAAGTAGCAATGTGTTTCATGTCAAGTCAACATTAAATGGTCCTGATATGTCAAAAGGCATTTTTCGAATAATTCTTTAACCGATAACAGTAGCTCAGCCGAGATATTCGGATTTCAAAATTAGTTTTACAGACCCTAAATCTTGTTATTATTGTTTTCATTTCGATGTCCCGCCCTCCACCGTAATACCAATCAGAATGTCTGTGATCCAGGTTTCCAGAACTCACCGCGTCAAGCTAATCTCACGGGTAAAGTGGGGCCGCAGAACTAAAAAAGGTCAAGATATTGAAGAAGATCACAAAGTCTGGGATCGTGTCTTTAATTCAGACAGAAGACATGTTTTATTGTTGTTGGTAGAGACAGCAACACGAACACGAACGTCACAGAATGAGAGTGTATTACACAGCATGGAGGAATGAAGTCCTCCAATCAGCAGCTGCCACGGTGCCAGCAGCTTCAACCTTGATATAACCAAAACAATGGAAGAGCACCGGCTCGTTCAAATGTTAGAATGATGAGTGTTATGAAATACCTAAAATATGACTCTCAAATTATTAATAACAAAACAAGGAATACAACATTTAGATTCTTATTGATGCCTTTGTGAAAAAGGTGTTGGTTATAGAATTATTATGGCCCAGCTGGATTCGTCTGCATATCTGGCAACCCGAGTCAGGGAGAGCGGGAGAGGTTGCAGTACCACTTTTGGCTAGATTTTTTTTATTTTCTTTTTTAAAATACTGCTCCTTTAAAACTGTTTTATATATAAGGAGAAAAAATGAGTTTGAGAAGATACCACCAGGACAGGCCAAAGTCTGCATTATCTAAACCCATTCATTGAGGCTCGATAATCTTCGTAGGCAGCCGTGAGTATGTGCACCTCATGTAAATGCATTTCCCCAATAGAGAATAAAGCTCTAATCAGCTTACAGCCACACTTGCTAATCCTCTGCACACAAAACTCATGATGCCGTTTGTGCTTTCCTATTTGCCTTTTCATTAGTGCATTTTTATAGCGTTTTTTTTTTTCTTGCTGTTCCCCTTTCTCGCACTTGGCTCTTTTTTGACAATAATGGGCCTTAATCTTGCGTGGCCCCTTGCTGGGATAAGTGTGTGTTGCAGAGATCGAGTCTGGAGTCGACTGCAGAGATGGAGAGGGTTGTATGGAATCATGGGAAAACACATTGATTTTGTTGGTTGTATTTGGTCAAAGTTGATTCTGGGTTCCCACATGTTCATACACAGTAGACACACACACGGATTTGGATCATTCTGGTTGTTGTGTTTTGAAAATTGGGTACCCCACCTTTACAAACCTAACAAGTAGAAAGGGTGCATTCATGACATAGAGTTCCATTTCAGTTGCAGTGCATGTGGGAAAGAAGATTATTATTTCAAAATTGTATTCTCAAACTGCTATACTTATCTCATCTCTGTAAGTAATGGTTGATTTGTACTGACCAGTGGGGGCGGGTCCCGGCCAATATGACGTGCGCTGACATGCTTGCAATACCACCCCAGGCCGATGGGGGTGGACCAAGCCCCGGCGATCCAAGATGGCGCCCTATTCAAATGAATGGTTGTGCTCAGTGGCGCTTTGTGACGGCATGGGGGCTGAAAGATTAGCGGAAGTTGCCTGAAACTCGCAAAGATCTATGGGAAACTCGCCTGTATTTGGGCATCGTCTGGTCCTCCCGGTTCTGCGCAGTGGATGATCTCCCATAATGCGTTGCGCCAAACACGCGTGTGTGGGTCTCACACCGGGTCTCACGCACGTGCACAGAGGGGCTCGGCCGCGCTCTGACCAATCAGAGCAGTTCATCAGAGCGGGAGTTAGAGCGAGAGCCAGACGAGCAGAGTTTGTGGCACTAAAGTGTGGATTTAAACAAAACCGAAGGATTTAAGAAGAAAAAAAGTTCAGGATGACAAGGGACACTAAAATCCCCACAAAATCCGATCTTTATTAAAGCCGTAGGTTCTCTGTCAGCTGAGCTTGAGCTGTTTTAATATGCATTGAGTTCTATGGGGAAAATTTCTGGGTAGCCCACGTGAATTTAGTCTGGTTCAGTCTGCAGTACCGCGAGAATCCCCTGAGCACGTGAGTTATTCAGCTACAAGCTAGTAATACCCTATCCAGTTAATATAATACATCCATGGGGTGGACCCAGAATAAGAATTATTCAACGCTAACATATAGCATTAGCTGACCTCTCGAAAACACCTTTACAGGATGGTCCAAGAGATGGCTCTTGCCCCAAAGCTCCGTTCCACATGTGTGTCAATGCTGAGGGGGGTGAATATTTTTATTTCTCGCCGGCTGACGCATGCGCAGATACGTTTATTCACAATTTTCTTGTGGGCGGGACCACTCGCGGCCATTTTGGATAGCTCCAGTACAGCTCAATTTTTTGGCCCATTAGTTTTAACGGCGCAGATAGCCGTGACTATGTTCGTTAAAATATACAGTCTATGGTACTGACAAGTGTAAATCTGAAATCAAAGCTTAGAATATGTTTTTCTATGTTTTTTCCAGCTCTCATTTGCATCTCATTAGCCAAATCTGTAATGTAATAATGTCATCTGAAAGACTGGTAGTTTGACACATTCTGCAAGAAAAAAAAAAAGATTCAGATTAATTTTATTTCCAGTATAAGCACAAGATAAGTGAACAACAGCTATACTAATAAGAATAAAACTATATCTCGAAGCATCAAAGGACAAGTTCACTATTTTGAACATAATAATGTGCAAAAGTCATGTGAAAATATGTGCAAGAAAAAAAAAAATACTTTTAAGCCTTGCTGTTGTAAATTTACTAAAATAAGTAATAGCGTAATGGTGGTAATGTGTTTTTGTCTGTCTTGTCCTGTGCAGTGCCGCGGTGCTGGACGGTAAGATCTACGCCACGGGGGGCATCGTCAGCAGCGAGGGTCCTGCTCTGGGAAACATGGAGACGTACGACCCCAGCACCAACCAGTGGACCCCGGTTCAGTCCCTTCCCTGCCCCTTGTTCCGGCACGGCTGCGTGGTCATCAAGAAATACATCCAGAGCGGCTGACCCTCGAGTCTATGGCCTTTCGAGAAAACACAAACTCACAAACTTCTAAACCAATCAAAAACCGAGTAGGAACCACCAGCCACGCCCCCGAGCTCCGAGCGGGACGAGACCAGAGCGTCCGGAGAGGGCTCTTTCCGATTGGGGATAGTCTGAAGAATGTACATTGACCCTCAGCCATGTCTTGGGGATGTCTGTGACGTCATTTACATCCAAAGCACTGAGGATTCTTCTCAAACTGAAGCATTTCGGGCGTGTTTTCTCATCGTTTGCGCATAATTCTTTTTTTGTGTGTGTGTGTGTGACCCCGGCCTAGGACAATGTGGGTTTGAGGGCGCGGATGTTGCATTTTTTGTGTTCATTTAAAAAGACAATATCGTTCTTGTCGTAAACATTTAACATTTAACATGGGGCAGTTGTACAGAACATTTGATTAGATGAAATTCCCCAAACTTAATTTATCAGCAGAAATGGTTTTGTCCGTTATTAGAATAGAGCAATTTGTGCCAGAATTTCCAAATATCAGTAAACGGAGGTCTGTGTTTGATGATATTAAAACTACCAATGTCAAAACCAATCTTACAAATCGTTTTTTCCGATGTTCACGCTGCAAAATATGAATGAAATATGTATTAGAATAAGGTTTGCCTATGGGACTTTTCTAGATAGTTTTTAAGACAAACCAGACGTACTCGCAGGTGCATTGTGCAACTCTTGGGTTGGGTCCACTGCCCTCTAGTGGCCGTGCATATTATTGCCGTTATATAAATAGTGCTTTTTATGGCTCAAAACATGAATTCTTACAGCAATTACACTCACCACAGATCTGTAAACCAGTTTGTCAATTTGGAAGGATACATGTACATACAAAATTGCCTAAATTAGGTTTGATATTTTGTGAAGCAAGATTTGCCGATGGGAGACGCAAAAAAGTTTATGTTCCACTGAAGAATCTTTGGAGATTTAAAAGTTTACTAAAACACATTTTGAGAGCAGGAAGTACATGAGTACATGAACAAGAGGCAGACCCTTCACCGAACAGTTGTGTAATGCACCTTTTGTGTTTTTTTGCAACAATAATTGGATTAAACACATTTTTACCAACCATTTCTCCAGCGTCAAACCTGAGCTTATATTTACTAAAACTGTGAATTCCCCAAAAGGTATTTTTTATTTTTACAACTGGATTTAAACTCCCAATAACCTTTCCGCTTTTACAACTTTCTGGAACAAAATCAGGTCAGACAGACTTTAAAACTGAAGGGAATCAAAAGTTCTATCTTTGTAAATCCCTGCCTGAGTGAAATTTGATCTGTTTTAATACCTTTGAGTTCATAGCGTTTTCCTCCTGGGAGTTTTGGGAAGCGAACGTCCGGAAAAAGCACAATAATAATCATTTGTGACTAACATCCGTTGTCCTTCATCTTTGGTCTTTGTCTCAACCCACGACATTTCTGGGTTTGTGTAAATACGGGATGGAAATATGTATATTTTAAAAACCTCAAAGGCAATTGTGTATAAATGTTTTTAGTAAATATCAAAGCGGTCGAGTTGGGTTCAAAAGGGTTGTGTGTAAATCTGTAAACGCAAAAGGAATAAACCATTGTTATTACTGAAGCCTAATAAATATACCTAAACATGAATCTTGTCTGTGTTTGTTCACAAAACTGTATATCAAATGGTAAACGTGAGTGGTTCTCAAAACGGGGATTTTACTGTATTTCAACCAATATCATTTACAAAATAGTATTGCTTCTGTCAGTGTGCCCCAGGGCAGCTGTGGCTACAGTAGTGGTTTATCATCCTCGTGTATGGAGTGAATGGATGATACGTGAAAAAAAGCCAATGCATTAAAATTGTGGTCTGTATTAATTTGGCAAGTTCTGACACTACCACTTTAAAGCTCGGGTATTCAACTTTCAAACCACTGTACAATATATAGTATAGTGTAGTATAGTATATATAATTACATATTTTATACAATATATGTAAATAGCACTCAATAGTTTGGTTCCATATGCATGATTTTTTCCAAGTGTGACATCTGGGCCAGCGGAGACTGGTCCCTGAGAGTTCCCTGCTTTAGTAAAATACAGTAGTACACACAACATACACACGCATTCAAGTTTATCACAGCAGTTTATTCAAGAAATACAGTAAATGTTTAATTTCAAATATAACTTACACCAACAAATGTGTTAAATACACAACCCCCCAAAAAACCAAAATATCGTATGAAAAGTTGACGAAAGCAAAGTTTAAAAACGGGAAGAGCGACGTAGAGAGGAAGAGAGGCCCTCCTCGCTGCGTGCGGCTGGACTGGGCGTCTCACTACCAGACAAAAATTGGTTGTTAGTCCAAAAGTAGAATGAGCAGAAAAGGAAGGTCACGATGTTACTGCTAGGCCTATGTTCAAATCATTAAAACATAAGAACAACGTTAAGAAGTGTGTTTTTAGACAGTGACGAAAAACAACAACAAAAATCGACGAGATGTAAATAAATAAAGGGTTAACGTTGATAAGAGTAATCCTGAGACGCTTCTGTAAACCCTTTAGTAACCCCCTCCAAAAACAAAAGTAACCTGCTACACAAATGCTACAGATGTTAAAAAAGGTGATAAAACCGGGGCTTTTGTCAGAGTGTCCGCCCTGTCCTCTGGAAGCGACTAGGGGCACAAATGCACACGGGAAATGATTGACCGGCTTAAAATACAAAAACAATTGGAGTAGCAGTTTTAAATGTCGTTCTAGGTGAGAAAAAACGCTGCTCTTTTTCTTCCTTTTTTGGTAAAACAAGACAATGGTATGCTCGAGTCAAATTAAATTTCCCACAACATCTATATCGTAATCATTATTTTGTATAGTGCAGGTGTCGGGGTAAAACTAGCAAGAATCAGAACGTTTTTAAGTTTCATTTTTACACTTTGATAGCTGTAAGAATTAGTTTGGACGCCCGCGATTAAGACTGATCTAAAGCTGATCTGGAGTTTCTTTGGCCCGAGATCGGAAACCATAAACTGCTAAAGTAAAAAAACAATTCGTTATTACTTATGACTGTTTTTTGTCACGTTTAACCGCAACATTGTGATTCATATGTGTATTTTTGTGTAAGTGCGAAATTATCCCTCTATAGTGCGCCGAGTCGGAAACGGCGCGGACACTCGGACACAACCCAAAAATGCATGCTGTGAACCGAATCTATACAAAATTACATAGGCAATAAATACACACACAAAAAAACAAAAACAAAAACCAGAGATGATTGTTGATAGGGGAAAAAGTCGGGTCAGGGCTCGTGGCACAATACGTCTTGAGGTACAGTGTGGCTCCGAAACGCAAAAAAAGTTAAAAAGTACTTCCAAAATGCAGATGTGACCGACGGTTGCGTTGAGGTAGCGCTGGCTTTTTGTTCTCCTTTTTTTTTGTCGTCCCGCGTGCCAACCCGCCAGTGTCCGCTTGCATATGGTTCAAGTGTTCCGCCTCTCCACAAGGGGGCGGACATTTTGCACCACTGAACAGGAAATGACCTCGAGATGCCACAGAAGGTGGTGAACCGACGCCTTGGAACGGACTGAAAGCATTTTTTACGGGTTGAATGAGAGGCACTGCCTAGAGTGGCCTTGTTCGTAAACTCAAAACTCAGCATCAGACACGGACGAGTAAAAACACGGAAAATTGTACAAAATAATACAGAACAGAACTTGGCGTTAGAACTCATTCATTATTCGCAGCGTGGCAAAAAAAACATGAAAGAAACGCTGGTGGTTTCAGATTGATTTCTGACTTGGCGACTGCGTTTTTACTGCTTTGATCCTTTTGCTATCCTCACAAAGTCAAAATATACCCAATTGTTTGTTTTTTTCAAGCTACTTTTTGATGTGTTTTCCTACCGCCTCTATCTCATTTAGACCCTTGTATGTCTAATTGAGTCTGTTTTAATTATACTTTAATCTGACCCAGGGCTAATCCAGTTAGAAAAAAATCCCCAAAATTCATTTAAAAAAATCATAATTGGGGTAATTTTCAAATCATTGTGGCGGGTAATTTTGACCCGAGATTAGCACAAGGGTTAAGCCTCTCCCTGGCATTCTAGTTATTTCAATGAGATGAGTTCATTGGACACGTTCATTGCACGTTGGGCAGTTTTAGAAGCCGGAGAGAAGTTAGCATATCAGCGTAGCATTTTTTGGTTTCTCAGAATAAAAAAAAAAAGAATAAAAACTGCAATAAGGGATTTCTTTATAACATGGAGCTTTTACGAGAAAAAAAAAAATCTCTCTGTGGGAAAGATGTGGTTCCGGGCTTGTTCCGAACCAAACCCGGTGGTGTCAAAGAAGTATGTACAAGTGAGAGTGGGATGGATAGTTTCTGCTTCCACCACTGCCGGCTCGTCGTCTCACCATTTCTAAATAAAAAGTCTAAACATTTGAATAATTTAATTTGAGGTTTTTTTGTGAAAGTAAGGCACACACTAGGCAGTGCAAAACGACTTCTAATTTGTACTGCCGAATCTCAGCTGGAGCCGAGGGACACATTCATACTGCGAGGGCTGCGTCTGATCACTCAACACGGGTTATCAGGACTTTAGAAAGACCGCTGCTTGTTTTACTGGTTCCTACGGGTTTCTGGCAATTTCCCAACGTCACGTGGTAACAGATGATTACTAAATGCAAAAAATATGAAAACAAAAGTTAATTTTTGCTTCAGTTATTGCAAAATGCATCTTGATTTTATGTTTATTTTGACAGTCCTGAAACCAGATTGGCTGTTGGAAGATGCTTTCATGCTAAAAATGTAAGTTACGCTGTTTGTATTTGGTACAGTATATGTGGATCTTGTAACTTTGGCGACAAATTCAAAATGTAAGTGGTTAGAATTCCACTTGTTTTTTTTATCATCTTTTGCAGCCAACAGAAAATCCAGTTTGCCAAAAGGATGGACTTTACACATTTAAGAGACTAAATTCTAGCCCATCGCATTGAAAAACCAAAGCCGTGGAGACAGTTGCCCTGGATAAGGAGGAATTCTTACTCAGACTTTATAAAATAAAAAAAAATTAGCCGATAATGGCCCGTAGACGCCGGCCCATCATCGACACTGGCCCACAGACGCCGGCCCATCATCGACACTGGCCCATAAACGCCGGCCAATAAACGCCGGCCCACAGACACTGGCCCGCTGCTCACACTGTTGCTGGTGGAGAGTGGATGCACCATTTGTGAACGTTACAATACACGGATCTCACACAAAAAAAACAAAAAGCTGATATGACATCGTCGCTCGCTCTGCCGGTTTCCCCGCAGTTTTCAAAGGCAGACCGCACTTGCCCCGTACTTGCTCGTATCCATGGGAACGCCCTGGCTTTGTCTGCAGTAACTGACAGTATGGCATTAAGTGTAATTAAGAGAATAGAGGCCTGAAGTGTAAAGCCACAATATGAGACATGGGCATATTGTCAACATTAAGACAATATTATGGCTACAGCCTGGGACAGACACAGTTTTTAAAAGCAACGTTAAAATTAAGAGATTTCAGATTTCAGATTTGGGATGAAAATTCAGCCAAAAGCGTGATGTTTTTGCGTCTCTACACTTTTAAAAACCATTTTGAGATACAGATAGCGCTCGCCTTTTTCAGAATTCATTAGGTATAGAATAGAATTGCCAACTTACAATTAAATTCCAATTGAAAATGTGTTTTGCAATTGTTACATTGGCTCATTCATTTAAAATAGACGATACAATTATGATCAACAATTATTAGTTCAAGCATTTATCAACTTTTTTTGTTATTCTTTGGAGCTTGAACTTTTGAATGGGGGAAATTCTGAAGCCATTTATTTTGTAAGATGTAAATCAAACGTTACAAGCGAAGGCCTTCCATGGGTTCGAGCAAGTGGCAACAGCAGAACGATGCCTTTGTGCAGCATTAAATCTGCATTCTCTTTTTCGTCGAGACTGTTTTTTTTCTCCCAAGAGCAGCATGGATTAAGAAAGTTATAGCACCCGTTTCAGCACCAGTGGGTGAACCATTGAGAGAACCGTCCGTGGTTTGGTTTTTTCCTAAAGACTCGCATTGGAAAGCAGGTGTGGACGGGCTAAGTTCCTGAGACGATAAATAGCACCGTGTCGTGTTGCCGTGGTGATGCGGTGGTGCTGCGCGTTGATGGGCGGCAGTGGTCCCAAGCTCCGCCCCCGGGTCGAACTCACAGGAATGTATCAAAATGCTGGATTCGGATCTCCAAGTCCTGCAAGACAAAAGCAGAGGAGAGCTGGAGGATTTGTTGGCACTTTGTTGCGAGAAATTGAATTATGAACTAAAAACGTACAAATATTAGACTCAACCACACGCAGACTTTGTAATGCCTTTTAAAGAGCACCAAAATAAACACATGAAACGGCTGAGTTGATTAAGACCAAAGAAGGGAATATTCATGAATGAATAGTACACTTACTAAAGATTAGCAAAAAATTATAAAATATGTTTATGCGAAAGCTCATTTACAGTGATCAACCTTGTTTTGTGTACTTAATCTTACTGAGTGTAAAAACACAGAAAAGTATTTTTATTGAAAACTGTTATTATCAGCCGTCTTTTGCTATAATATTATTACCTCAACCAGAGGGAAAGGTTCAACCAGTGTTTGTCCAGCTGTCTCTGTTCGCAGAATAACTACACACAATACTTTATTTAGCATTTTCAGGAAACCCAGAAAATGGGACAAGGACATTTTGAAGGAGACTGTGTTTAAAGTAATAGAACTGCATCCTCTTGGCCGGTAATATTTGATAGAATGCTATATTGGGCAGAAAACATTCTATAGAGCTCATTCAAAAACAACCAAAAACAATAAAGTTCCATGTGAAAGTTTGTTAGTTTAAAGGATTTATTTACAGTCGGTTCTTGCCAGTGCTTTCTGTGATTCTTGACCCGTCTCACGCTGCACTGTATGTGTGTGGGGGGCGGGGATTTTGTCATTTTTCTGTAGCTGGCCACTTGCTTAAAAATCAACAATGTCAAAAGCAGTCACATTAAGGCTCTCATTGTGGCTGTATTTGTACTGAAAGCCATAAGCATTGTGTACGGCTGCAAATGTCCAGTGCTTTCTGCTCCGATCCAGAACAAGAGAAAACGGCATCAGTGCTGGGTCCTCAGCAGAAGATCAGCAGTAGTGCAATCATTTCTGATCTACATCTGCGCTGCCGTTACAGTTATGTGTGCCAGGCAGCATCCATGCATGTGTTCCCAGTTTGTTCCAACCTGGTTCGGACCTGGGTACAATTCTGATTCAGTCTCTGGGTACACATGAGGCAGAGAGAACGCGCCAAACAAATTGTTCGTTAAATTGTGCTTCTATCTGCTTCTCCATGACACCCGAATTCGATTGTTACATCCACATTTGCATAATTATTATTGAGCTCAAATGACATTTCAAACACTTAGCTGAAGCAAGACATGTTTAACAGCTTGGAACATGAATCTCCATGGAGACGAGAGGTTACAGTAAATGTGTGTATATTTATAGTTGAACCAGCAGGTGTAAACTTGATCCAAGGTATCAAGTATTCATCAAAGCTTGTATTCTATTTGCCACTATATCCACAATGTAAAATCTTCTAACCATAACATTTAAAGTACTTACTGTACATGTTGTTATGACTCATATTTTCTGTACTGTACTTGTGTTTCCATATAAAGTACAGTGACAGCTTCATCATTTGACTTTGTGGCATCTCACGCCTGTGCAACTCCACTGTAACAGCAGCGCAGACCGTACCCACTGCAAACAACAGCTCTGAGCGTTGTGATAAATGATGGAGAATGAAGCAGAAGAAGAAGAAAGCGACTCCCCCCGGTGTGAAAGCAGCGGCGTTTGACACTGAGTAAACGTGAGCTGAGCAGATGAACGGAGGAGCTGAGAGGGATAAATGCAGCCACCGTCTCCATCTGAAGCTCACCAGTGACAAGGACTGGGTGATTGGGGCAAAAGCAGAGCCACAAATGATCCTCCCAACATGGATCCATTTCCACTTTTCTTTGCATTTCTATTTTGCATTTGATAAACTAAAGAAAATGCAGATGAAACAACAAAAATACCCTGTCAATTCAGGTTTGTGTTGGGCCACACTGCCCGTGTCAAGTTGTTGATACTCCGCTTGGTCAGGACTACCGGAGCTGAAGGATTTTACCTATTGAGCATATTTTGAGTGGTAGGGGAAACCAAAGTACTCGGAGGAAACATACTCAGAAAGGCCCTGTTCCGACCGGGATTCAAACCCAGGACCTTCTTGCTGAGAGGCGAGAGTGCAATCCACTCGGAAAATGCAATAAGCACTGTTACGGACAGTTAGATAAAAACAGATTTCAGCTATAGGTGCACCTGCCGACATTCTGGCTGCACTCTGAAGCCTGGTTTAGGGCCACAATATTTCACATGTTTAAGGTTACGTCTGTCCCCTGGATGTGTTTGCGCCGCCCCCTCACAGCCCAATTGTTTTCCTTTGTTAGGGCACGGTCAAATAGGTTTTCACAAACTAACTAGGCTAAGTGGCCAGGATCATCGCCACAGGGGAAAGTGAAGGCGGCCCGCGGTCAGAAAGGTTTATTTTTTTTGTGTGGGGAACGTTTTTCCCCAAACGCGGTGTAGTACAATGCTCGGTCCAGCTGGTGGCGCTAATACTAACTTCAAGGACTCGTTGTCAGAGTGAAGTTTCTGTTTCTCTTCCTGTTTACACTAGCCTACTGTGGCCAACAAAGGCGTCAAGCATGGATTACGTTCTTTGCAATCAGTGAGAGTCAATGTGTACAAGTGTGAGATGTCTTTCTCCAATGTACAGCAGCTTAGTTTGTGTGTGTGTGTGTGTGTGTGTGTGTGTGTGTGTGTGTGTGTGTGTGTGTGTGTGTGTGTGTGTGTGTGCGGACACCTTTGAGTAAACTGTGAGCGCTGGGAAATGAATGGATGAGAATGAAAGAATGAAAAATGTGGCGTATGAGCAGAGCGACCGGAACCAAGCAGGATACAATTCATTGCTGGTGTGTTTTTGCGACAAAATATTTTCTGACTCTTGAGCGTCCAAAGTGTTATTGGAATAACACCACACTCTGACAGTGAGGGTCAAAACAGAAGGTAGTTATACCCTGTACAAAATGCATCCCTTCGGCCCCGGAGCAACAAATCTCCATTGCGACCACAGTCCGGGGGCTCAAATGAAACACACAAGGAGAGTAGAATGCAAAAGCATGGGACTGCAGGTAGAGATATTACAATAGATCCAAGGTAGGGACATGTGCAAACACGTACGTCACAGCAGGCGCAGCAGGAAGACGTAATGTGATGCACAATATCCCCCACCACCACAACTCGCCCTCACTGGGGTGATTTCCACTCAAGGAGATCATTTGGTCTTTCCTTTTTATCCCAGTGTCAAAGGAGGACTTTTGGACAGATAGCCATTATTTTCATTTCAAGGGTGAAAGCTTAAGAATTTCCTGGTTAGAACTTTTAACAATATTTATTATATTGACAATCATCAAGTCCTAAAATGAAAGATGAAGCTTGAAAAAACCTGTCTTTATCAAAGTTTTAGTAGAATAAGTCCAGCCACCGTCACCTGTCACTCAACTGTCCGTTTGAATGAAGAGCAGTGTTTATAATGTCAGCGCGTCATCTGGAACCCCATGTTAAAACAACTTTTGCATGAATATGTATCACGCAATGTGCATAAAGAATGTATTTAACATTTAATAGTTTGAGATGGAACATATGCAATAAACACTTTGAAAATCACCAGCAATTACTTTCATTTTTATGTTCTCAAAAAAATGACTCCATTAAATATTAAGCTAATTGACCCTGACTATTTAGACAAAAAGATAACGGAGGCTTGGGACGTTGTTGAAATAGGGAACATTGTGTAATATGCTGAAGTGTAAATGCACTTTTCATCGGTTGTGACATTGGAGTCAATTGAACTGCAGTGAAAAACAACTTTCCACAAATTTAGTTTTATTGCGAAACTGAAATTTAATGCCGACTGGGGATGACGGTGCATCTGTGTCATTATGGCCATTTGAAGCCACGTTTCTCATAAAAAGTTCATTTAAAGTGTTTACCACCGTTTGGATTAGTCTCAAAAGAACAGAGCAGTCTGGGTTTTATTACTTTTCCTTATGCTTATAATTGGTTTATGGATTCTGCACACAATGAAAGGAGAAACCATTTGAATATTTAGTTGGGGGTAGAATGCGGCTGTGTCCATGGGAAAAGATCAATGTCTAATGTGGAATAATGAATACAGCAACGTTTAAACACTAGACCATTAAAGAGCTATAATGTGCCCAATTACAATCAAAGTTAAAGAACGGAGTCTTAATGTGGCATTCACAAGGGACAGTATTTACCTTAATCTAGGCCTGACATAGATAGATAGATGGATACTTTATTGATCCTCGTAGGAGAAATTAAGGTGTCCAGCAACAGAAGACTCATCCAGGTTTGTTGTACAGTCTGACAGCCGAAGAAACAAAGGATCTCTTAAAACGTTCCGTTCGGCAGCGCAGTGATAGGAGCCTGTTGCTACGATTACTCTTCTGAGCGATGGCCGCTCAGAGGGTCATGCAGGGGGTGTCTGGAGTTACCCAGAATGCCCTGCATTAGAGCCCTCATCCTTCTCTCCAGAACAGCTCCCCCTGAGTCCACACTTCTCCCCATAACAGAGACATGTCCAAACTATGGCCCCCGAGTAAAATCAGGTCCCTTGAAGCTTGTTCTTGGGCCCTTGTTCATGTGTTTGGGCATGTGGTTTTAAGATTAATCTCTCAACAGAGTCGAGAGTAGTGCATGTTATGACCTTCATAAATCTTTATAGTAATCTTTTTATTCAGCACATCGCCCTTGGTCTGGGCCGTGCCAAGTAAACCTACAGGGATTTTCAATATAATTACAGGTTTCTCTTAAGATGTTGTATAGTTTATCACGCAAAACAATGTAGACTTTATACATCAAACTCTGCTTATTAGCGACACAGCTGCTTTTAACACAGTGGTTGTGCTGTTTCGCAGTTTACTCCTACACAAATAAAGCTTTCTTTCTTGATTCTTTTCCTGTGATCGACAACACATCGCCCAATAGACCCCTTCAACAGCGTTACCGTGGGAACACTGAAGGCTATAGCACTACCTCACAAACGTAAACGTTTCATCAACGCACACGATACATAAGACTAAATAAACGGAAATGGCCGGTTA